TTCGATTTTAGAAGATGTTTTGCAGTCCAATCCGGCTCAACATTTTTTTTAAAAAAAAGGGAGGGAGAAGAGTAGTATGCTACTACTACTCGCGAAGCATTTCAAAATAACCCTCGACAACCGTGTTGCCCGACTATCAGCAATTGTGCTTACCAACTCCAGGAAGTCTCGCTACTCGGCTCTCACCATTCATGTTGACCGGCTCCCGCTAGTCTCGCTGCTTAGTTTTCAGCAGTCGTGCAACCCGACCCTCAGTAGCCATGGGACCCAGCTCAGCAATCGTAGAGCCCAGTCATCAACAGTCACGATGTTGGACCATCAGTCACGTTGCCTAGCTCTCGGCAGCCGCGCTACCCAGTTTTTGTTAGCACTTGTATTGCCTAGCTCTTTCAGCAGCTATGCGCCTATCACTCCTTCTTTCTCGCCTCCTCTATGGAAAAAGGGGGGGGGGGGGAAGGGTTGGTACGACACTATGCAGAAGTGATTTTTATTCCAAAGGGGCAGAGTTAAAGTACATGAAGAGCTGATGATATGCATGATAGTACACTCCCGATGCGACATTAGCATTCCGGATCGAAAGAGTAGCCCCGTGGTTCAACCCTCGGTAATCTCATTGCCCAACTCTCAATGGTCATGCTGCTCATCTATCGCTAGCAGCTCGATGCTTAGTTCTCAGCGGACCAGTTGACCAACTCTCAACAACAGTCTCGCTATGCACCACTTGACAGCAGCTACACTATCCAGCTCTAAGTAGCATCGCCGCATAGCCCTCGGAAGAAAGCCAAGATAGCGAGGCACCATTCGTCACTACAAATAATGATGCAGCAGAGCATCAGGCGCCGTCATACTTTGGCCCGAGCCGGACACATAGATTGCCGACTGATATGCCCAATTCTGCAAGGTTCAGTACCTTTGCCTTGAGTCGCTTTGCTTCTCAGCCTGACTCCATTATAGCGGTAAGCTCCGCATGCGAGGTTCAGTACCCTCGCCTCGAGTCGCTTGGCTTCTCAGCCCGGCTCCATTGTAGCGGCAAGCTCCTCATGCGAGGTTCAATACCCTCGCCTCGAGTCGCCTGGCTTCTCATCCCGGCTCCATTATAGCGGCAAGCTCCGCATGCGAGGTTCAGTACCCTCACCTCGAGTCGCCTGGCTTCTCAGCCCGACTCCATTATAGCGGCAAGCTCCGCATGCGAGGTTCAGTACACTCGCCTTAAGTCGCCTAGCTTCTCAGCCCGGCTCCATTATAGCGTCAAACTCCGCATGCGAGGTTCAATACCCTCGCCTCAAGTTGCCTGGCTGCTCAGCCTGACTCCATTATAGCGGCAAGCTCCGCATGCAAGGTCCACTATCATTGCCTCGAGTTGCCTGGTTTCTCAACCCGACTCCATTACAACAACATGATCCACTAACAAGGCTCAAAGCCTCATAATCTTTTCCTATATGATTCCACGCGATGCTCTCCCGCGTGATGTATCTACGATCGCTGGCAGCTAAGCCCGATCCATTCCATGCGATGCTCTTCCGCGTGATGTATCTACGGTCGTTGGCAGCTAAGCCCGATCTGTTCCACACGATGACCTCCCGCGTGACATCTCCATGATCGCTGGCTGAACTATTCTTCTAAACCGTGCAACAAAAGTCGCGTATTGTCGTGCATCGTAAGTCGCGCATCATAAGTTTATGTCATGCTTACCACCACATTTGGTGTCTCTTATCTTATAATTAGCATGGTTTTCCTATGCTCGGACGATCAGTAAGGCGTTTCCTACATTACATCTTGTTGTAGAAAGGTTACTCTTCAAGAAGAACGCTATCTACAATAACACTGTCACTTATAAATCAACATCTATGTTGTCTGGCTCTTAGCAACAGTCTGGTTGTCTATTATCATAGAAAGCAACCTCGTTGTGTAGTCTTATAACAACCTTGCCATATGCACCATAGTCTGATATGGCTGCCTACGCTACCCACATCAGACTGGGGGGGAATCCAGCTAGGGATGGCTCGAGCAAGAAACACCTTCACAATGGTTATCAATGCTCGTGCAAAGTAGATTGTGTACATGGTTATCGGTGACATTCCTCTAAGATGATGGAAACACCGCGACATCCATGTCGTATACTCTTTAGTAGCCCCGCTCCGCATAACATTGCCAGAAACAGTTATGCTGCATCTCATCGACCAGATCGCACTCCTCTCAATGAAGGAGTATCAAGTCAGCTCAAGCTGCATAAGAAGTGTTTGGCTCATCGCACAACCACACGGCTCTCGTGGGCGAGGTTCGGTCATTCTCTCTATTATTTAATGTATTGGTGCTTTATCTAGTCCGATCTGATTGTCAGCAACCCAATCACATCAGACTATGGGGGACTTGACGATGCACGGTTTATATGACTAAGTCCAGTCCGATGTCATTGACTACATACCAATAACATCATACTGGGGGACTTGATGATATATGGTCCATTAGCATGGCCTAGACGGCTCTAGAGCGCCAGCTTGGCCTGGCGCGTTCCGCCAGCCCTGCTTGGCGCGCTCCGCCAGCCCTGCCTGGCGTTCCCTTGCCAGCCTTGCCTGACGCTCCCTTGCCAGCCGTGTTGGGGACTCTCCTGCCTGCTCGGCCCGACGCTCCCTTGCCTGGCGCTCTTCTGCTAGCTTTTCCCGGTGCGCGCCCGCCAGCCTTGCCTGGGGAGCGCCCGCTAGCACGCCCGGCGCCTCTGGGCGGCCTTGCCCAGCTCCTTGCTAGTTGGACCTGAATTGGGCTGGCCCAAGGCCTGATCTAATTCCCTTTGACCTAGTTTTCCCTTATAAATAGAATAGTGCCTCATCCATGAATGAGGACTTTCCCTTTGGACTCTTCCCCAAGTGGCTCAGCCGCCACCAGACCTTTTCCCCTGGACTCTTCCCCCATAGCTCAGCCGCCACACTATACTCCGGCCGAGTGGCTCAGTCGCCACCAGCCGCCGTCAGCCACCATACACCACCACCAGCACCAAGATGGTTCTCTCCAGCTATGGAGGACCATCTCAGATCTTCTAGATGATCTAACTTGATCGTCGGAGTCCGCTCCTGGGGTACAGTCCCTGGGGCGGCTCTAACGCATCTCTCTGTTGTGACCTCGCAGATCCGTCTCCGGCGTAGAAGCACATCCTCAGAGCAGGTGGTCGGAGTCGATGTCGCATTATATATATATATATATATATATATATATATATATATATATATATATATAACTTTTATGGGTATAATAATGTATTTTACATAATTTTATTTCACTTATTTTCACATAACCACGTTTTCATAAATAGTTATTTAAAATTAAAAATTATTTTTATAAATTGATATTTTGCATATAAATGTGTTTTTGAAAAAAAAAAGTTTTTATATATGTATTTTGCATATTTTGTTTTTATAAAAGGTTTTTATATAGAAAAAAATAAGGTTTTTAAGTGAAAATATGTTTTTTTTTAAATATAATTTTATACAACAAACAACACATTCAAAACAGGAATTTGGAAAAAAGATGCAAAAAACTAAATTTATGATTAATTCGTAACAAAAGTTTGAAATATAGGCAAAAATGTAAATTTTGGAGCAAGTTTGTAATAAAATTTAAAATCTGGATTAAAAGTGTAGATTTTGGAAGTGAGATGACCTGTAGACCAGGTAAAATGGTTAAAATGAATATAATTTTTATTTTTTGGACTTAACTGAATAAAAAAATTATATAAAAATTAAATCGATTATGAGGCTAAAATATAATAATTTTTATGAAGTTTTCTTTCGTAAAAACTGTATAAGATTGTTTTATATTTATAATAAAAAAATATAATTTTTTTATTGCGTTTTACCATTCGATGGTCAAATATTCAAAAAGGTTCTACATTGAGCAACGTTATGGATATAAGGTTGAGGTAAGTGGTGCTGACTGCACCAAGCTCCACCGAAGCTCTCTGGCTAAGGAAAGAAGGAAGGAAGAAGATAGGAGGGAGTGGGTACAGAGTGGAGAATAAAGGAAGAGAAGATCGTAAAAAAGAAAGGGCTCAAGCTAGTCACCGAGTTTGGCCGCCGAATTCGACATACCGAATTGATGGTGCGGTGTATACCAAAGCCACATCGAATGTGTGTGAGCTTCACCGAACTCCACTCTGTCAAGCCTAGTGAGCCTTGCCTTAACTGCATTGAGGGCTTGCATGTCGGCATAAACTCTACTTTCGTGTCCCAAAAGCCAATTGACTCTTCATATGAAGGAGGAGCTATTTATGTATATTTGCTCTAATAGTTAAGACGTTATCCATCTTTAAGTTCTGTTCTACCCCTTAATCTTTATGACTAACCAAAATAGACCCATCAAAGATTATTATTTATACACTTTACTCCTTGATGTAAAAAGTAAGGTCCTCTTTGGTAACATTCAACTTTTAAGTTTAGGTTCTCTTATAATCTAAAATACAACATTGGTTTGCGTTTAGGATTGTTTGCATATTACAATGATTTGAAATCATAATAACTAATTATTTTCTATATAACTGATTTGTTTGTTTTTTTTTTTGTAAACTTAAATGTTGCACATTTTAAATATTTATCAATGATTAGGGCAGTCCTGAGAAATTAAATATCCTCAAAGGTCCGGAACAAGCTAGATAAAAATGACCATTGTTGTTATTATAAATGTTTATTTTTAAATAAATATATATAATAAAAAAATTAAATCATATATAGCTGCCCACTTTACCCATTCAACACCGCTATAATGCTTTTTTTTTCTTGTGTAACTAGGACCATTAAAAAAAAATATGCACCCTCCAATTTTTTTCAAAGGAAGTGGAAGAGAAGCTACTAAGAGGGTTATAATTGTAATTTTTAAAACTTGAATGGCAATAATTGACTTATGGAATATTTCAAGAATCATTTATGTGACTGTCACTATAAACGGGTAAAAGTGCTTATGCAACAGTCTACAACCTATCTCTCCAAAGGGGAAATCTGTCACCGGAAAATATGGATGAAGTATCGCCAACTACCACCGTCCCACTCCTCGGTCACCGCCATCAATGGTGGCGCCAAATCCCATCCAACGCTTCTTCCTCCCTCCGCCTCCACAAAACCACCATATGGTCAGAACTCGGCGGCTCAGTAGGCGACCTTGGTACCTACATCCCGATTGTGTTAGCACTCACTCTCGTTTCCAACCTCGATCTCGGCACCACTCTCATCTTCACCGCCTTATACAACATCGCCACCGGTCTTCTATTCGGCATCCCGATGCCCGTCCAACCCATGAAATCCATCGCCGCCGTCGCCATCTCCGAGGCCCCACTTCTAACTCTCTCCCAAATCGCCGCCGCCGGAATCGGTACCGCCTCTGTTCTCCTCTTCCTCGGCGCCACAGGTCTCATGTCGTTCCTTTACCGATTCATCCCTCTTCCGGTAGTCCGCGGCGTTCAGCTCTCTCAAGGCCTCTCCTTCGCCTTCACCGCCATCAAATACGTTCGGTATAATCAGGATTTCGCTGCCAACAAACAGGGCGACGCCCGATCATGGCTCGGCCTCGACGGACTTATACTAGCACTTTCCGCGATTATCTTTCTAATCATCACCACCGGCTCAGGCGAAACCTATGAAAACCCCGAATCCGTTTCTGGGAAACGTCGTGTCCGCCGAAGGCTACAGATTCTTTCATCCATCCCTGCTGCCCTGATCGTGTTTCTGATCGGAATAATATTATGTTTCGTTATAGACCCCACAATTTTCAAGGATTTACAGTTAGGTCCGTCGAAGTTTCACGTCTTGAAAATCACCTGGGACGACATGAAAACCGGATTTCTCCGGGGAGCGGTGCCTCAAATCCCACTCTCCGTTTTAAACTCCGTGATTGCAGTTTGTAAACTGTCGAATGATTTGTTCCCGGAGCATGAAGCATCGGTGACAGCTGTATCAGTGAGTGTGGGAGTAATGAATCTAGTGGGGTGTTGGTTCGGAGCAATGCCGGTGTGTCACGGAGCAGGTGGATTAGCCGGTCAGTACCGGTTCGGTGGCCGGACCGGAGCTTCGGTGGTGCTTTTGGGAGTAGGGAAGTTGGTGCTCGGACTGTTGTTTGGGAACTCGTTTGTAAGGATTTTGAACCAGTTTCCGGTGGGGATTTTGGGGGCGTTGCTTTTGTTTGCCGGAGTAGAATTGGCAATGGCGTCGAAGGATATGAATACGAAAGAAGAGTCGTTTGTGATGCTGGTGTGTGCGGCAGTTTCTTTGACGGGATCGAGTGCTGCGTTGGGATTTGTGTGCGGGATTGTGTTGTTTATGTTGCTGAAATTGAGGGAGGTTGATTGTGGTGGTGTTGACGATGTTGATGAATGAACGAATGGAATTTGTGAATTGATGCATATTTTTAGTCTAATTTGTATGAGTTGGGAAATGTATTGCTTCCATGTAAATGGTATAATGACATACGATATTTTAGAAGGGATTTACATTCTTTGTTAGGTTCTTAATTAAACAAATTTGTTTTTTTTTTTTTGAAACGACGAATAATATATAAAAAGACCACGCCACTAGCAAGAAACTAGCCGGAGGCAGGAGGACAAAAACAAGAGTTTACAAATTACAACATAAGAAAAAGGAGGGCAACATCACTCAATCCATTTACATGAGTTATGCGACCACTAAATTTATGCAAAGAGAAAACCAATAAGACGACATCATCAACTAACGTCGCAGGGGATTGAACCATGTTGTATATTCTATTGTTCCTAGCCTTCTAGATTCGCCAAATAAGCCCATATAGAATGGCTAATAGCCGTTTGCGTTTTTTAGGGCAATTTCCCTATCGGTCACCAAAATCTAGCAACTCCGCCACCTTTGTAAATTGCCCTTGAGGAATTCTGCACCAGTTAAGAGTCATTTTAATGACTTCTGAAGCAAAAGAGCAGCTTGTAAGCAGATGGTCTGCTGATTCTTCACCCATATTACAAAGTTTGCAGATCAGTGAGTCAGTTTGAACATCTCTCATTAACAGAGCAGCTGCTACCGGAATCCTCCCTTGCTTCGCCCTCCATGCAAAGTTGGACACCTTTATCGGGACTATTTTGAGCCATATAAATGGCTTGCCTCCTTTGTTCGTGATTTTTGAATCCACAAGTCTCCACAAAGCCTCCAATGTGTACTTACCGTTTGGGTTAAACTTACACCAGAATTTATCATGTTCCTGCAAAAAGTTATAACCACATAAAACTAAATTCAAGTTAAGTTAGCCTGATCAGAATTTGGAGTTGATTTCCATTTCCATTTAAAGACTCCGCCCTCTCTTCTTTCAGAAAAGAAGCAAGATTTCCGAGATTCTAAAGCATATAAATTTGGGAACAGTTCTTGAAGTGTGTTGTGGGCGAACCAATTGTCTTTCCACAACAACGTTTTGTTCCCCGAGAAGACACATTTTTGGAAGATATCATCAACATAAATATTCATCACAGCAAGATCGTCAAAAACTTTGGAAATGTCATGCCACGCACCTGATAAGGTTTTTTTCGAGAGGTTCTGCCATGGTTTTCCTTCTAGATTATGGATACCACAAATGACTGAACTCCACAGTGCCAAATTTTGTTTTGAGCGACCCAATCCTGAGACCACCTTCTTTTTTTTATGATAAAACCTTATCCCAAGCTATCCAATTAATCTTCCTCCCAGCGTTTGAACTTCCCCATAAGAAATTTCTTCTCAGCTTCTCTAATTCCTCAATAACACGTGCAGATGCTTTGAATAATAAGAAATAATAGGTCGGCAGGCTACCAAGAACCGCTTTGATCAATGTTACCCTTCCACCAAAAGATAAATGTCTAGCTTTCCAGTCTGATAACTTAGACTGAAATCTCTCAATAACGGGTTGCCAATATTTCTTGCATGACATGGTTGCCCCTACCGGAACTCCGAGGTACATGAATGGAAGAGACTCCACTAGACATCCCAGTTCGATCGCCCAACTCCTTGTTTCACTGTTTTCCACACATAACCCAATTACTTTTGATTTGTGAAAATTGACCTTCAGCCCCGATGAGACTTGGAAGCATCTAAGAATCCTGGAAATGTTTTTGATATTAGTATGAGTCCCTTCACCCACAAATATAACATCGTCGGCATAGAGTAGATGTGAGATCAAAGGACCATTATTTGGAAGTTTGATGCGGCTAAAAATGGACTTTGAACATGCGGTTTTCATGGAAATATTCAGACTCTCCATTACGATAATGAAGAGAAAATGTGAAAGGGGATCACCTTGTCGGACTCCTTTCGATAGCAGGAATTCACGGGTGGGAGAGCCAATAACAATAACTGAGGCCCTGGCGGATTGGAAGCATCCCCGAATCCATAATCTCCATTTGATTCTGAACCCAATTTGCTCCATGATTGAGTCTAAGAAACTCCAGTTTACTGAATCGAAAGCTTTTTCAAAATCAACTTTAAACAAAATTTTTTTCCTTTTCGACTTTATTTCCCAAATACATACTTCATTCATAATTAAAGGCCCGTTAAGAATGTTCCTGCCATCTACGTATGTTGTGTAACATCTGGATTTTTAGGGATATTATTGTGTATGTTAATCTTAAGGATTGAAGAAGAGACTCGACAAGTTGAGGGTCCAACTCGCTGAGTCGAGTCGATATTGCTCGCGTGGATTTAATGAGTGGACTCGACGAGTCAGAGGAGGGACTCGTCGAGTAGGTGCTGGGCAGAGAAACCCTAATTTCGCGGGTTTGGGACCTATTTAAAGGCACTTATAGCCTCATTTGCGGCTACCTTCCCCTGTGAGCGAACCCTAATTGCTATTTGAGCTAGAGAGTGAGAGAAAAGCTCATATTGTGGTTCTTGTGCATCATTTGAAAAAAAAGGATGAGGTTATCAAGCAAGGAGTTGGAGGTGAGGCTGTTGGATCCAGTGATTTCCTGTCCAGAGCTCCTGAAGAAGGTATGAAGTCTTCACCTTTCTTCTTATTTTGGATAGATCTTATATCTATGGAGTTTTAGGGCTTTTTGCCATCTTTTGTTTGGGTTTTTGAGTAGCATGAGTTATCAAAGAGTCTAGACCTCAGATCTGGACCTTGTGAGGTCCTTAGAGTCTAGGTGTCCCAGCTTTATTCATCCATAGGAGGGTTTTGGGCCTAATCACTCATGAAGGGCATGTATTAGCATTTTTGGAGCAATAACATCATGCATGAATGTAAAGATCGAAGCTTTACGTGACTATTGAGCCTTGAGATGACAGATCTAGTGTTTAGAGTGATAGATCTGTTTTAAATCGTCTGAATGAGCTTTGGGTCTGAATGAACTCGCCGAGTCGGTGAGACGACTCGACGAGTTGGTTAGGGTTTGTCCCGAAGAGATGAATCGTGCGATGACTCGGCGAGTTGGGAGTCAACTCGACAAACTGAATCAACCTTCGCGAAACTTCTGAGTAAAACGATGGGACTCGACGAGTCATAAAGATGAACTCGGCGAGTCAGGTCAAATTCAGACTGTTGACTCGAGTGTTGACTTCTGTTGACTTTGGGGTTTTGGTCAACATGAGTAATAAAGACCATGGAGGGGTAAAATGGTCTTTTATCCACTTCAAAGAGTTAAAAAGAGAAAGAATAGTCTTCGGTTGTTTGAATTGTGAAAAGAGTATTAATTAGAGATATTCATCCCTTGTGTTAGGTGGAGACTAGTTCAAGATTCGGGTGCGAGGTTATCTACTTGCTATTTGTCAGGTGAGTCTTCTCACTATACCTTACCTAGAGTGATAATTATGTGTGACCGGAAGGTCTTATGTGGTTATAAGGGTTATGTAATATATGATTTTATCTATGTGATATGTATATGCTATATCTCGAGCTTGCATGGTTTGGACCGGAAGGTCAACAAGGTTTGGACCGGGAGGTCAACAGAGTCAGGACCGGAAGGTCTACAGAGTTAGGACCGGCAGGTCATCATGGGTAGGACCGGAAGGTCTACCAGAGTTGTGGGACCGGAAGGTCCCATTGAGACGCATTGACCGGAAGGTCTTACAGAGTTATAGTCTCGAGTGGCTAATATGTTGTGTGTGGTATTTGGGGAACTCACTAAGCTTCGTGCTTACCGTGTTATGTGTTATGTGTTTCAGGTATCTCAGAGGATCGCGGGAAGGCACCGGCTTGATTGTACACACACCAGTAAAAGAGTTACGTTTTGAGGATCCTGGATTTTAACCAAGCAATTGTGGAATTTTGAATTGTAAATCTAATAAACGAGATTTTTGTAAGATACATTATGAGAAATATGTGATTTTAAATGAAAAAACTATTTTGAAAATTTACGGTGTTACATGCTGATTGTGTCTCATCTATAATGCTACCAATCACCGCCTTTAGCGTAGAAGCGAGAACCTTGGTGAGGATTTTGTACATACAGCCAATGAGGCTGATGGGTCTATAGTCTCCAAGTGTGACATGATCTTTGGTCTTTGGAACAAGAGTAATAAAAGATGAGTTGTGTAACGCCTGTTCCAGGTATCATTTAATTCTCTAAGTTTTTAGGGTTTTGTGCTAGGACTCGACGAGTTGGGGAGCTCCAACTCGTCGAGTAGAGATCATTTATGAGGATGCGAGATTTAGATCCTACTCGACGAGTCGGAAGGCCCCGACTCGACGAGTAGGCACTATAAAGGAAAACCCTAATTTTCAGGGGTTTGTACCCTATTTAAAGAACTTATGGCTCATTTGTAGCCTCTTCCATCGTTCTTACAGTCCAGAGAGAAACCCTATCCACATTTTGGTGCTTTCTTGAGTGTATGTGACTCCACAGGAGATTTCATAAAAAGCAACAGCATCATTTTCCATTTTATCGAGATCATCCTTGGTGGGACGGCTCATAACTGGTTGACCTCCTCCTAGTCTGGTTGTAGCGCCGTCGGTTTAGACAGGTGTAAGGACTGGGACATGTGGTCCTTCTTCTACGGATCGCCATACATCTCTACCAAGTCTCCTTAAGTATCTTTCCATTCTTTGTGACCAGTGATGATATTCATTTGCTACCAGTATTGGGGCTCGGTTAGAACCACCAACACTGTTGGAAACGTTCAGAGATAACGATTGTGCCATTTGAAATTGTTTTTTTTTTAAGAAATGAGCTTAAGTGGTATAGAAGGCCTTTTGAAAAATCAGAGATCCGTTTTCAAAAAGCAACCACTATGGCTCTGATACCAATTGTTGAGAGAAAAACTTGGAGACACACTTGAATAAACGTTAGAACAAGTGGATTGCGGAATAGTTAATCTCGAAGGATCTAAAAGCTCAACAATAATATTAATAAGTTATAGTTAGATAGTTAGAGAGTTAGTTGAGGAAAAGTAAAGAAATAGAAATGACAACAATTGTTATATCAAGTATACACATAAGTTGATTCATAACAAGGAATGCATTCAAACCAAGTTAATAAGGAAGATCAAACTTAGTGATTAAGTCACAGAGGACTTGCTCCAGAGAGAGGTTATGATCAGTTATGTTCTAGGAAGGATTGAGAGTAAGGAGGGATGAGAAATAAGATAGAGGAATAGAAAAGATAACTTAGAGAAATGTATTCAGAATAGATGTGTGAGTTATCCGTATTGAATACAAGAGAATGAGCTCTTATTTATAGAGACTCATGAAGAGCACTAGATTACATCTCTATGAGTAGCCATGTAAGGCATACTAGACAATATAGTGTATTACAATAAAGACAAGTAAAGTAATCTAGCTAAGTGACTGCGGTAGGTAGACTCCGGTTGCGGTTGCTGATGAAGAAGCTTGACTGCGGGTGCTGGATGACTGCGGTAGCTGAAGAGATTGCGGTAGCTGAAGTTCAAGAGGGTCACTTTTTATTATTCAACAATTTCCCCCTAAGTGATCTCTTTAACTTTTGTTCAGCTATCAAGTTTGAGGAACTTGATCAAGATCCACCAAAACTTCCTGATGTTTTCCAGCCAGGTGATTCTCCTTGAGATCTCGAACTTGACTTCTGTAGTAGTGTGCTTTGATCTTTCAACTGCGGTTCGGCAGATGTCAAGTTGCTTCTTGGTTAGGCGATGCATGGCAGTCATAGGAATGAAGTATTTGACATTATCTATCTTCCTTTTGAAAATGACTCCAAGTTCAGGAAAGTTGGTTGCGCCTAAGGATCTTTCTTGATAGCCTTCAGTAGGCATTGGAGCAGGCTCGAGAGGTGGCAGATCAAATTTCTTGGCAATTATAGGATAGATATATGCATCGATCTTGGCGAAATCACAGACCGTTTCCTTCATAAAAGTATTGGCCTTTTCAAGCGCGATCTTCATTTTCGGTTGCTTTTCTGACTTGTTTTGGAACACCTTGGCAATAAGAAAGATTTCTTCCGGATTCATACAGGGAAAGTCTGCCTCGGTGCGGATGTAGTCATGCTCCCTTCT